CGGAAGGTTGAAATATTTGAAAATTACCATTAGTACGCTTTCTGCTAGTCATGTTGGATTTTCTTTTGTTTTATCAATATTTATACGAGCCGTGTTTGTTAAATTTACAAACAAGACGATTCTCGAACAGGGACATCGAACAGAGGATCACGGGTTCGAATATCGTCTCGAGCACTTTTTCTTCTTTCTTTTAGATATAATATAGTTGTTATAGTCATCTTGATTTTCTGAAGATTTTTTTTAATAATTATTTTTGAGCCATTATTTTGATTTTACACAGAATATTATACTCGAATAGCGTCGAACTTAGGATCGCGGACTTGATTCTCGACTCGCATTTTTTTTCTTTCTGTTTAACTGAAATGAAGTTGTTATTGATTTTTTTCTGTACATATTCGTTTAACAATTATTTTCGAGACATTATTTTGATTTTTACACAGACTATCGTACTCGAATAGCGTCGAACCTAGGATCGCCGATTATCGACTCGATCACTTCTAAAAAGCGATTCTTTTTTCTTTCCTTTTTTTACTGAAATATGCTTATTCTTATTTTTCTTCTGGATATTTGTTTTACATATTTTACACGCAAGATCATACTTGAATAACGGCGTTGAAATGACGATCTTCTAAACATTTTTTTCTTTCTTCAGCTTTAATATATATACTTGTTCTTTTTTTCTAAAATTATTTTATGCAAAGCAAACTTTCATCTTATAAATTCTCTGAGGATAATACGAATGCAATATGAATGCTAAATTTTCGCTGCAATTCAAAAAAATGATGTGAAAAGATCTATCATACGCAAAATCTATCAAATCGATCGCGGCGCTGGTAAAAGTATATGTTAGCGTATATAGTAGCCTGGACACGGTATGTTCAACGAAGTGGTTCTTGCTTAAGAAATACGACTTAAAAAAAAATAGAGAGGGGATATTACGAAGATATGAATTTTATTTTCAAGTGGTGAAAACTGCAAAAAATATCAGTGTTTTAGTTTCCGTTTTGCAAAAAACGTAAGAGAAGCATTGAAATTCTCATCATGTATACATAAGTACAATGGGTGGCATACTAAGGTAAATTCCTCTCACGTTTTTTCAAA